CTTTTTTTTTTTTTTTTTTGACAGGGTTTCACTAAGTTGCCCAGGCTGGGCTCAAACTCATGATCCTCCCGCCTCAGCTTCGCAGCCTTCCCTCCTCTTTAAGGTAACAGCCTCTCCTGACTCGCAGGTTTGTGCAGAGAGCATCATGCATGGCAGGGCCTGATTCTATCCCTGCCACTCAGCGAGTGCCCAGGAAATGCCAGCCACAGCTCCCCGTGGTCATCGCCCAGGCCTTGCACCTCACTCACACGTGGAAATCCTCGACGCCTGGCTGTCCTCATGGAGGTGGGAAACTCGGCTCCGGAGTGGTGAGAGAGGCACTAGTGGGTGAGAAGTAGGCATCAGAGACACAGCCACATCAGTGTCCCCCTGGGGGCTCCTGCCCAGGGCAGCCAGGCCTCTCACCAGTGCTGTGGCTTCGGCAGTGGTGCAGCAATCGCACAGCCCTGGCCATCATTCGCTGTGGGTGACACAAGGGCATGAGAGCTGGCCTGTGGGACGGCACCCTACCCTGCCAGAGATCCAAGCTCCTTTGAACTAGGTGCTCCTGGGGACTAAGGGGCTAGAAGAGCTAGGGTCCCTACTGCTTCAGCCCAGTGCATGGAGAGGCCCAGCAGGACCAGGAAGTGGAGGAAGACAAGAGGTCAGGCAGGACTCAGACAAGGCCGGAAGGGACTGTCATTGAATGGTGAGGTGTCTGACACCATCACCTTCCGGGACCCAGGAGAAAGCAGACCCACCAGTTTGTAAGAGTAAGGCAGGGGCTGTTTAGCAAGTATCACATTTGTGGCTTTCCTAACAAGCGTCAGTCTCCTCCTCTCCACAACCTTCCAGGCTGTCATCCCATCTCCCAGCTCATCCCACTCTCCCAGAACTCACCATCTTCTCAAAGTTGATGAGATTCTCCACTAGTGTGTGGTTTCCCTCGTGGATGAAGGTCATGTCTACAAAGGGATGATTTGCTCATAGGTCCCCAAATTCCCTCTCCCTTCTGCAGCCCAGGAAAGATGAAGGCAAATAATGGGGAGCTTGGAGCCTACCTCACCCCACACTGCCTTCTGCCTCTCACTCCCTACAGCTGACCTGCAGCGCCTCTTGGGGTCCCTTGGGACTGGACCACAGCTCTCTAGCTAGCGTAGCCTTCTTTTCCTTCATCTTAGCCCTTCTAAGAGCCTGTGAACCCTTAATTCATCTTTGCACTCCCGAGGCTCAGCAGCTGGGCTGCAATAGCAGAAACAGCGTGAGTAGCGTGAACGGTGAATAGCAGCCAACCATGAGCCTAGAAGCAGGAAGGTGGGCGCTGGTCCTCTTACCTTTGAGAAGAAGGGGCATGAAGGGGATGATGGGAGGGGAGAGCTTAGTGAGGGCCAGTCGATACACTCGGTGGTTCCACGAGGGGTCCTGAGGCGGGGAGACCACAGTGGGGGGTGGGGGTGCACACTGTCACCCAACACAGCCCCAACACGACCAAACGTCCCACCCATCTGCCCGCCACAGAGAGAGGCTCCAAGCTCAGCCACTGCTTGGCCATATCCTTCAGGCACCCCTGCCACTGCCAGTTTACATGCACCTGGCTCCCTGAGCTACTGAGGAAACTGGGAGGGAGGGGTGGTCACAGGGTCCTGAGGTTGCTGGGATTCATTCTCAAATTCTCTCTCCCTCTCTCTTTCTCTCTCTCCCACTCTCCCTCCCACACCCCCACACCCCTGTAAATTCCTCTGAAACTCTTGAGTCCCACAAGGTGAACTGTTTTCTTAAGGGCTCCCAGAGCTATGCTGGTAACAACTCTAGTTCCTTTCTTGCCCAAACACTTCAGAACCCTCAAAAATCCCTGGAGGAAGAGGACTCAGCCCCACAACTCTTTCCTTGTCTTTGTCCTGGCCTGGCCCACAAGCCCCTCGGGAGTCCTGGAGAACTCCTGACAAGCTCTGGCCTCAGCACCATGAGTGCTTAGTGCTAGGACTACTTCCTGAGTGCCCAAGCACAGTAGCTACAGTCTAGCACCCCCAGTGCCCCAGCACCTCACACCCAAGACGTCCCCTGTGCTCTCTCCTGGTCATCATAGGATCTCACAGCCACTGCAGATGCCCCTATGGGTACACCTTGAGTGATAGGATCCACCATGCTGCCCTCATCACATGCTATATACCCCATCCCCCAGCCAGCTCCCCACACACCCTGGCCAGAGGGAACCAGGCCCTGGCTCTGTGTTGGGAACCCTGAAAAGTGACCACAGACAAGCAGAGGGCCACTGGAACCCCAGAGTTGGGGTTTCTAGAGGGACAGCCACATCCAGCACTCACCAGCAGCCTCTCCAGGGCTGAGTACAGCTTCCGGACTTTGTGGGGCAGCCGCTGTGAAGAAGAAGCCATGAGCTGCCACTGCTCACAGGGAGCCCCATGCCCAGCCAAGACAGGGAAGAGACCAGACCTCAGTATCTGGGTCCTCTGGGGGAACCTACCTCCCAGGTGTGGGCCAGGCGGCTGATGGCTGAGTTGCTAAGGCCAAACATGATGGCAAAGAAGGAATTGAGATTCTTTTGCTCCTTGAGGCTGTGGGTAGAGGAGCAGAGATGCTCAGGGGAAACACCATACTCACCACACCCCGGGTAACAGCCAGGCCTGGGGCTTGGACAGGGCCCTGCAGCAGCGCTGCCTCTGTAGGACAGGGTGGGGAGGCAAAGAGCAAAGTCTCTGGGGACCCAGGAACATGGGACAGCAGATTCAGCAACAGAATGAGCAAGGAAGGGATCCCAGGACTCCAGCCACACACCCCACTCTCCTGATGGCACTTACTGGGCTGCCAGCTTGATGAACTTCCTGAGCAGCTGGGCCCGCAGGCCCGGCACGGAGCAGAGACAGAGCTCTGTGGCCACCCAGTACTGCAACTCATTGAAACGGCGCATGAGGCGCTCCAGGTTGGCTGTGGTGACGTCCCGCAGGTGCTGGGGGCCCAGCACATAGTGGATCAGTTCCACCTGCGTGGGGAGACAAGGAATCAGCATGCACTGAGCAGGGCACTCTGCCACCCCTTCCTTCCCACAGCTTGGCCTCACGTACCTGGTGGATGCTGTTGAACAGGTTCCAGTCATGGTCTGTCAGCTGCCCTGCCAGGTCCTTGGCACTCACCATATCCAGCCCCTCCGCAGAGCCCACAGTAGGCCCCAGCTGCTCAGGGTGTGGGGTCTGCAGATAGAAGAATGCTCAGGCAGGTGCCTGAGGAATCCAGGGGACAGGATGGGGTGGGAGACAGGGCTTGGGGGCAATGCCCTGTGCCTTGGGAGGAGGGCGGTGTGGTAGCAGGAGCACCACAGGCAGTGCAGGCTTTCCTAAGGAGTCATCTTGCTGACTGCTGCCCCATACTGGGATTCCCAGTAGTGGAGTTCATGTTCCCTAGGGATCCCCTAACTAGAGCAGGTCCTCTTTCTCCTTGGGAGCTCGCCACCAGCACTATGACACCCCCACACACACAATCTTTGGAATCTCCCCATCAGCTGAGATCCACTTCTTCCTCTTCCTCCCAGAATTCATCTCTGCCACCCTCAAAACAGAGCTCTTCCCTGACCTCGCCTGGACCCTACCAGCTTGTGCACTTCCTGCTGGTTGACAACAAAGAGCCGCTCGTTGAGACCCAGGGAAGTGGCCACACCACGGGCATCTGGCTGCAGGCCAATGGCATCTGCAAGGAGAGTGGAGGCTGCTGAGTGGGGCTGGGGAGGAAGCCAGGGTCTAGGTGGGGGCCCTGATTGGGAGATTCCTTTTCCAGCAGTGGCCAGAGCTGTGGGCGGGTGCTGTAGGAAAGTGGGGGTGCATGCCCTGTGCCCTAATTCCTCTCCTTGGACAGCACAGAGAGGAGTATGAAAAGGGGATCCAGGGTGAAGTTCAGCTTCCCTGATCCTCAGCTTCCTCCTCTGGAAAATGGAGACTGTATGACTTGTCAGTGGTCTGACCATCAGCGGTCGGTCGAAAAGACAACCAGCACAGAGCAGGTCTTACTTAATAAACATGAGGAGAACTGCAACTCATCAGATGGTCACCAGAGGGCAGTGCTTCCCAGAGCAGAGCACCCAGGTGACCTCGTGGGGCTTTGCTCCCTTCCTGAAGGGAGAAGGCTTTTCTCACCTACCCTCTTTGCCATTATTCTCCGACTGTTCCCTATTCTGTTCCACCCTGGGCTTCAGCTGTCAGGCCAGGGGTGTGTCTTTCACAGGGAACAGTGGCTTTTAGTGCCCCAGGTTCTCCGAAAGCAGATCTTGATAATCCTTATGCAATCACATTCCAGGCCTTTGTGCCAGGCCCCAGCTGCATGAGCTACACTCCTATCTCTTGCCTAGCAACCGCCACAGCTCTGTACAGATGGCTACAGTGACAATGCTCACTTTCCAGCAGGGAAGGGAGGCTCAGAGAGGCCATACAACTTGCTCAGGGTCCCACAGCTAGTTAGCAGGTGATCTGGGATTCCAGTGCAGGTCTGGGAATCCATCTGGCTAATCTACTTTATTTACCATGGTACCTCTGGCTCCTAACTCACTTCTGATCCATGGCTGACCCTCAACAATGTTTGCTAAATGACTAAATGATGAGGATTGTCTAAGTACAAAGGCCAGCTACATTCCCATTTCCTGTTTGAGCTGGGGGAAGCCACTCAATCCCCAAGCTTCAGTTTCCCTGTCTGAAAATAGGGCACAATTACCAATTGTAGGATTGTTATTAGGATTAAAGGTATATTTAAGAATGATAATGGCAGCAGCTAAAACTTACATAGTCCTGAGCATGTGCTAGGCACCTTCCTAATCCCCTCTGCGGATTACCTCACTTCTTCTAGGAGGCAAAGACTCTTATTCTCCCCACTTTGCAGACGATGAAATCCAGCACAGAGAGGTTAAACGCCCAGCCCAGGACACACAGCTAATGAGCTCACAGCTGGTGTCAAATGCAGGCAGCAGGCTCCAGAGTTTATGCTCACAATTCCTACACGTAAAGCAGTGTGAACAGAGGCAGTGCACCTCCCAGACGTGCCACCCGTCATCAGCACTGGTGACAATGATGCATAGGATGATCTTAACCCGGGGGTCTGAGCATGGATTTGAGGGGCCCCTGCCTTGGGGTCTATTGGGACACAACTCACCGCCTGCAGAATTGACCTTCACCAGCACCTGCCCCTTCGTCCAGCCATCCTCCTGGGCCAGCGCCACCATCACCTCTCTCACTGAGGCCGTCACAGGCAGCTGCAGGGTCAGCACTGAGTGGTCCGGCCGGCAGATGTCATAGGGCACTGGGGAGGAGGACTGGGCTGAACTGTGGGAGGAGCTGCCTGGTCTCCTCAGCTCAGGAGGGAGAGGGCAGCAACTGCACAGAGGGAGGGACCCCCCAGGAGTGGGGAAGAACAGGCACAAAAGGGAAGCCCAGTGGCGGGGCAGAGCCAGGTGTGTATGTGTTGGGGGGTGGGGGTCTAAGCTAGCACAGGAGCACAGAAGGATCTGCCTGGCAGCCTGGAACAGAGTCGCCAGGGACAGCAGCAGGCTGCCCTTGACTCAGGGAACCCCAGGTCGAGGTGACAATAGCAGGACAAAGAGAGGTAGAGGCGGCCAAGTGCAGAAGCCAGGCTGTGCCCTTCTGGCTGGGACCACCCACCTTTGTCCCCAACTCTGATGGCACAGTTGCTGCTTGGGAGAGGCTCATCCTGGCTGGGGAGCCAGACAGGTATGTTCCGGACCTGGGAGGAAGAGAAAGTAAGGTTGAAAGGACATGGGACAGGATGCCGGCAGGGACAGGGAGGGGTCTTTGTCACCAGGACCAGGAAGACGAAAGCACCACACTACCAGAAAGCTCTGCTTGCCACGTTAACCTGAGTCCAGGTGAGGCCCTGGGACCAAGGCTCCAGAGGAGACAGAACTGTGTAAGGTGGGTGAGACGGTACCCTCCACAGGTACATCCTTCCTTCTGTGCCCAAAAGATCCAGAGCCCTTCTCTTCCTTTCCCTCTTCAGTTACCATCTGCTACAAGCCAGGCATTGTTTTAAATAAATAATCACAATAGCCCTTTGATAAAAAATATTATTATTTCCATTTTATGGATGAGATAATGAGGCACAGACTGATTAAATGAACATGCTCAGGGCCACACAGCTGCTGAATGTCAAAGCTGAAATCCTGCCCCTCCCTCCCTCCTTCCTTGTCCACCACCACCCTGTCAAGCCCAACAGCAGGCAGGCAGTGGGCTGCAGGCACTACAGAGCCTCCACTGACAGGGCTGCCCCACGTGGTCCTTCTCCCCCCACCCCCCTGCTTCTTCCAACCTGGGGCTGACTCCTCCCTGCCACCCTGCATTCGGCAGATTCCCCAGGTCCGGACCTCAGGCCTCTGGTCTCCCCTAGACTTCCTGGTCTTAGCCTTCCTCTGACTTCCTCACAACCTGGATGCCACCTACTTATGGATAAGACTCAAAATGCTGCCACCTGAGTCGCGCTTCTGCAGGCTCTGGTCCCAAACACCTTCTGGATGCCTCCTCGTCCATTATCTGCCACCCTCACCTCCACACACCTGCAAGGTCCCCCTATTCACTCCTCCCAGGGCCACTGTTCCGCTCCAGGCTCCTCCCCTCACTCCTGCCTGCTACAATGGCCCAACTGTTCTCCTCCGCTGACCCTCAGGTGACTCCAGCCCCGCTCCTCCAATTGGCCTGGGCAGAGCCCATGGAAGTGCCCAGCTCAAGGCAATCATTGTCTGTGGATGAGCCTGGTCTTCCGCTGACCTCTTCAAATCCCCAATCAGATCCTGTCAGTCCCTGGCTCAAGCCTCTCAAGGTCTGCACTGATCTCAAGACAAGACCTGGTAACCCTCCATGCTGTGGCTCCTGCCCACCTTTCCAGCCCCTCTGCCATCCCCTCTTGCTCTCTGTCCCCCAGGGTCACCTTGGGGTCCTCTTTGTCCTCATCCCCCAGACCACAGCTTCAACTCTGCAAACATTTTCCCCCAGACCCAAAAGCCAAATCAGCCCTTCTCCTCCCCAGCCTCCGGGGACCCTGGTCTTTGTATGTCATGAGGTTGTTTCACAGCCTTGCCCCTTGCCTGCGGGCACAGGCCAGGGGTGGCTCTGCCAGCCATGGTGCCATCACAGGCAGCCAGCACAGTGCCTGGCAGGTGAGGGCAGTTCCTGGGTGTCAGCCACTGCCCTCACCTATGAAGCAGTGTCCCAGAGGGAGTGACGATAAACTGATTTGAAGGAAATAGTAGAGGACACCCGGGGTCATGCAGGGGAGGGGTTGGTTTGGATAGGGAGACAGGAGGAAAGAGAATGAGAAGGACCCAGGCAGGCATAGTTCTGAGCAGAATGTCAAGCACAGAGGCCCAACATGAGCCCAGCGTCACCTCTAGAAGAGGAGCAGTGGGAGCCTCCAGTCCGCAGGAGTGTGGGGCAGGTGAGGTGGGCTGGCTGAAGGCTGAGGTGAGGCATTTGGATTTCCTTCCCAACACAACCTACCTTTCCAGTCCTTTCTCCCCCCATCCCTCAGCCAGTCTGGGTTCCAGTCACATCTTGCTTCCCTTTGCTCCCCCAGCCTCAGGTTGGAATAGCACTGGCCACCTAGACTCCTCTAGGGAGGGGTCTCAACTTCCCCTGGATCCCCGCAGCACTGGCCACTAGGAGCCCTCGGGCCTTGGCAAATCTAGTGACCAAGCCTCCGATGCCAGCTCTGCCTGGGCAAGAACTGCTTCTTGGAAGAATGAAGCGGGGTGGCGAGGAAGGTCCCGCTTGGACCTCAGCATCCTCCCTCCACTCCCCACGGGACACACACGGTGAGGTCCTGGTGGGGAACCTTCCCACACACGGCTTCTCCAGGGAGGAAGCTGGGGCGGGAGAGATGGTGGTGGTATGGGGCAGGTACCTTCAACTGCGGAGATGCGCTCCCATAGCCATTTTCCAACCTGTGGAGCAAGAGAGAAGGGCTGTGAATGGGACATCAGGCAGGGCTGGGCTCTGGATCCCACTCTGCCCCCACCAGAGCTCAGAAGGCAGCGGTCTAGGAAACTCGGGTGGGCGGGGCTGGCAGGGACTGCCACTGCTGTACCAGGGGATACACGTGCACCTGCTGGGGGAGTGAGAGCTGCGGTGCACTCAGGATGGGACAGGAGCGAGCGGTGACTGCATGACTGCAAGAACAGACAGAAGCCCGAAATCAGAGTGTCCATCAGGGAGTTGCTAGGAACCACTGAAATGAGTGCTACTGCCTGGATTCTACAGCCAGGGCCAGCCCAGAGCGTCCACCCCCCATCCCTACTCAAGGACAAGTGAAGGCAAAGGGCCACCTGTGGTGTCGCCTCCTCTCAGACCCCTGCTCCCTCAGCAGGTTGCTGAGCCGGCTGTCCTTGCTCACCAGGTCAGAGAGTTTCTGTAAAGAGCCGAGATTCCCTGAGATTGGCTACTTGTAGCTGAGTCTCCGCCACAGCCCGGCCAGCCTTGCCTCACTCGGGTACCTGGAGGAAGCTGGTAGCCACGGGGTCCTTGTGGAGCATGGGACCATACAGGGCCACCCAATGGCTGACCAGCCGCAGGATCTGCTGCCTCCTGTTGCAGATGTAGGTGCTGCACTCCTGCTCGCTGCCTCCTGCAGACTCCGCCGGCCCCGCGTGGAAGGTGAGTGCCAGTCAAGGGAACCATGACATGCTACTGGGGTCACCCGCCACGCTTGAGGAGGGCAGGATGCCCCCTGTGCCCCAACAGGCTGGTCCTGGGACTAGGCTGGCCCCTGAGAGGAATCCTCGCAGCCCAGCCAATGGGGGAATCCATTGCCAGACACCACACACCACCCTGCCCCTACCCGCGTTGCCAGGGCAGGGAGGATATTGGTGCAGCAGAGCAGTACAGAGCTGGGCGGTAGGCATGAAGACACTGTGGGTCAGGAGGAAGTCACTGAGGAACATCTCTGTGGGACAGGGTGGGTGCAGGAGTCTTCAGAAGCCAAGTCTACTGAGCACAGCCAGTGCAGCCCTTCCCCAGTCCCTCCACAGGCAAAGAAAGGCCAGCGATGCCCAGCCCATGTGAGGGTACCTCCCACACAGGCAAAAGCACAGGTAAGCAGACATCATGCTGACTGGCTGTGTGGACCAATCCAGTGCCTGGCCCTTTCCCAGGCTGTGCTGACCAGGGGGTGAGTCAGGGAGCAGGCAGGGAGGGTATCTCCTGCCCCTACCTGTTGGGTCATGAGCACTGGAATCCGGCCGCATGGCCTCCAGCAGCAGCTCTAGGATCTTCTCCGGAGTGCCAGACATCACCTTGTACCTAGCAGGCACAGCTGGTCGGTAGCACTTGGGCCATGCCTCCCCCTCTCTCATCCGTGAAAGACATTAATCATCAATGACATCACTTCCCAAGGGCCAGCCCTGTCCCGCTTTGGGGTGCAGGAAGATGATTTGGGGAGCCCATTCTAGTCCTTCCATAGTCAGAGGGCAGGGCGGGCTGTGACACAGGGAAAGAATCAAAGGCTGGGAAATGGTGGAGAGGGAGCAGGGCGGGTGCCTCACCGGTTTTGGCCTGGAGTTTGGGGGCGTGAAGGGCCAGCACCCTGAGAGGTCTTTTCTAGCACCAGCACCACCTTGCCATGCTCTTCCAGCCTCATGGTCTTTGCTTCTACATCCTGGGGAGCAAGCCACATATGGGGTTCAACTCCACCAGGACTTCGTTGCACCCTGTCCTTCACCTCCTCCCCTTCCAGATGCCAAGCCCACCCCTACAGCGCCCTCACCCAGACCTTGGCCCCTGACCCCCTGCCAAACCCCTCCTCCAGCCCTTGCCTGTGGAGGCCTCACTCCGCACAGATCACCTCCCCTTGTGCCCTGTCCCCCGTACTCCTGGCTGCCACACACTGAGTTCTCACTAAGTTCCCCAGTGGTATGGGCTTCACCTCCTCACACAAGCTTACAGTCCTTGCCCCAGCCATCACACCCAGCCTCTTCCTGTAGCCTCTCTCTGTTCCCACTCTGTACCCAACTCTAGGCCTCTGTTCTCTGCCTTCCCCAGCCCCAGAGAGGCACCTTAATGATTCGGTTGAAGTCCTGTTTGTCCACACGCAGAAAATGACAGTTATCTTCTCGCAGGATGATGGTGGCCGCCCGGGGTGCATCATTCACCAAAGCCAGCTGGCCAAAGTCATCTCCCTCGTGCAGAGTGGTCACCAGCCCCTGCAGCCAGGCCTCAGTCACAGCTTACCCTGTGCTCAGCCCTTGCTGGGTCAGACCCAGACAGGAAGTATGGGGCATCAGAAGTTTTGGGACCAGCCTGGGCACCGTCCACAGGACACTAACCAGGACACAGTTAGAACGTAACAACCTAGGGAAGTGGGAGATCCCAAGGGGGTCTCACCTTGCCATGGGTCACCACGTTGACAGATCCCTTCCAGATGATGTACCACGAGGTGCCCTTGTCCCCCTGGCTGAACACTGACAGAGGCACAGATGAGGTACTCCCCTTCCATTACTGCCAGTCCCCCAGAACCCTGCCCCGTCCAGGTCCCTGCACCCAGCCCAACTTACACACTGTCCCTGCCTTGCTGTGGGGCTCAAAAACCAGGACGGCTGCTAACTCCCGCTTCACCTGTGAGCAGGGAGGGGAGGGTCAGTTTGGAGGTGGGGAGAGATTAGGTTTGTGCAAATGCCGGGGCAGAGATATGTCTAGGTGTTGCCGGGACGTGGCAGAAGGCAAGGCCAGGGCAAGATATGGCAAAGACAGGGGGAAGATATTCAGATCGAGGGTACAAAATTAGATTGAGAATGCCCAGCCACAGTGGGTGGAGAGGGAACTGCCTCTGGACCCAGCAGTGGGAGCCTAAGGGAGTCATCTCTGGGACAAGGACAGATCTGGATGGACCCTGGGAAGAGGACTCACCGAGTTGGAGAGGTGGGCCACAGCCTTAATGTGCAGCAGCTCCTCAAAGATGAGGTCCAGCTCCTCGTCCATGCGCTGACCTGGGCTGTGGGCACAGAAGTCACGAGCACATGAGGAACCGTGGCCCAGGGCCAGGTGTGGGAGCCACCCCATCCACCTGGCTCAGGTCTAGGGCCAGATGTCACCCGCTCTGTGATCTTTAGCAATAGCGGAGTAATCCCCACGACAGCCCAGTGACGCATGTTTTATTATTCTCACTTGACAGGAGAGGAAGCTGGTATGGAGAGGACCAAGGTCACTCAGCTAGTAGCTAGCAGAGCTGGACTTGGAGCCTTGAGCTGCCTGCAGATTCCAAAACCTACCCTCTTTCAGCCAGGGCTGCACTGCAGAGTGGGAAGGGTCCTGCGAGGACCTCTGGCCCGCAACCTCATTGACAAAAGAAACAGGCTGGGCGTAGGAGGGGCTGGAGGCCACACACGGAGTCCATGGCAAAGGTCAGGTCTCAAAGAGGAATTTAAAAGTCTATGAGTCTCAATGCCACATGGGACCTGGGGTTGGGGGGTGCAGGGCTCCCAACTCACGGCTTTCGAAGTGCCACAGTGAGCAGGGCATCAGGTCCCCGCTGGGAGAGCAGGGCCATTGCCTCAACCAGCTCCTCCTCCAGCTCATGAGGTCCTGCAGGCTGGGGCTCCAGCCCCAAGAACCGGTAGAACTGGGCATCTCGGTCCTGGAAGGTCCAGTCGTGTTTCACTGAGGGACCAAGGCCCAGGCATGGGGAGGAGAAGAAATTGAGGCCACGTAGGTGTGAGGTCCCTATTGTCCCCTCCCCACCTCCACCCTCTTGGGACCTATTGCCCAGCCCTGGATCCCTACCCTGGGCTCAGGCTCACCATGGCAGAGGGCACCTTCATCCAGGAGCACCTGGCAGATGCCCACTGCTTGGCTCCGGGAATGGACCCCGACCCCCAGGGCCAAGATCCCGTCCACCAGCTCCCTTCCAGAGCAGCACTGCCTGCAGGAAGGTAGGAGGCTCTGCATCAGAAAGGCGCCATTGGAGACCCAAGCCTGGCTCTTCCCCAGAAGCAGGGTTAGGCCCAGATGCCTGGGATATGGTAGGAAAAGGAAAGAGATGGTGGGGGCAGGTGGGCCAGGGGAAAGGCAGGGGCCCACTCACCGATAGAGTCTGAGATGGTACTTCCGATCTCGGATGAGAGTCGGGCAGGCAGCCAGGAGATGTCGGTGTAGGTACCTCCCAGCCCTGAGCACACGCTCCGTGGAGACCTTGGCAGGACGAAAGGCACTGCCGACTCAAACCCTGCAGCCCTCCACCTGCTGCCCCCTCTCACCCCACCCTTTCTTAGCCTATACCTGCTCTAGGCTGTCACTGAAATCCAGGGACTCCTCGCTGTTGGTGAGTGGCGTCTGTGAACAGCAGAGAGAATTTGTAGGTTGGCATGAGGCCTTCAAACACAGCTGAGGGGCTCTTCCCTGCCCACCTCATTCCCACCCTTGCTGCCCCAAATGCATCCTTTTAGTTATTCATGCAACAAATGAACTTTCCTGGTATATTCTTATCACCAGGCTTCGCCTCTTCCCACCCTACCACCCATCACCAAACCCTTTTCTTCCTTCTGCACCAGAGCACTGTAACCCTACTGACAAGCACGCTAAGATCCCCGATCTGCTGACCCAGGACCTGAGTATGCCCAGGTTCCCAGGATAATTGTCCGTGTGTGGGGACAGGGACAAGGGAACTGGAAGGAACATGGGGGCAGGAGATAAGACCTATGAGAGGCCAGGATGACAGCGGCTCAGGAGGCCTGGGAACATGTGTTCCTGGGCTGGGCAGCAGGCCATGGACAGGCCATGGACAGGCTCACAGAGCCTTGGTTCAGCCTGGTTGTTAAAAATATAAACCCCCCTGAGGGCTGGGATTCAGCTCAGTGGCGCCATGCCTGCCTCACAAGCGCAAGGTCCTGAGTTCAAAAAAGTTCAAAGCCCTGGTACCAAACCAAACAAAACAAAACATCCCAAAGCTAGGCTCCTGGATTCAAATGCCCATTCCTTCATCTAGCAGTGGTGTGACCTTGAACAAGTGATTTACTCTCTCCCTGAATCAGTTTCCTCATGTATAAAATACCAGTAATGACCAACTCAGATGCTTCAGGAAGGACTGCATGAGTTAGTGTAGTGAAGGTTTAGACCTGTGTCTAGCATGAAGCTGTATATACATGTTAGCTGTTATTATTCATCAGTGAGGGCCAGGGTGGGGCTGCTTGCTAGAAGGCTTCATTCCTTTGAGAGATGCTCTGAGTCCACCAGCCTGTAGGAATGAGCAAGACTTTGGCAGTATGGTGGACTTGTTCAGGGCTTGTCATGGACTCACTGGTTAATAAGGTTTCCCTGTCCTTGGCGTCAGTGGAGGCATCAGAACCCCAGGGGCCTTTGATGTCAGTCATGAAAGCCCCCCACAATTCTTCTTTTCTAACTACTTGAAAACTGGATTTTGTGGACAGATCTGGACAGCATGCCCTGGCATCTACCAGCCTACCCAGAGGCAGAGTACGTTATAGTTTGCAGGGCATGCCTGCCTCCTTGATGTTAGGGGATCTAGAATCGAGTGTGAAATAGGCAGGTATTGTCTGTCCTCTAGGATGAATGAGGAAACAAAAGGCTAAAGGTGAAATGCCCTGTGTAAGTCACGTATACTTGGGATTGCCAGCCAGCTGCGGATAAACTCAAGTTCCTACCCTCAAGTGCTCACATTCTTGGTCTTGTTCCACCCACCACACCTGTCTGTTTCTTCTTCCTCCCACTTCCTCTCCTGCTTTCCCACCTGCACTCAGGGGCCTGGGAGAGACCTGGCTGGGAAGCTGGGCCCTGATGGATTCCCCTCCCCTGGGGTTGGCAGGTCCCTACATATAGGCATTTTGCCACTATGCCCAGGCAGAGGTCTGGCCCAGGGCTGGACGGAAGTCACTAGGTGTCCCAAGGGTATCCCTGCCTGGGTCATGGGGCCCAGCCCAGTGCCAGATCCAGAGCCCTGGAGACTTAATGACAGGAAATAAGGAGGAGGAGGAGCCAGGAAGAGAGTAAGGGCAGGAATGCTACCCAGCCAGCCCCCTGTGTTGGAACAAACAGTGCCTGAATCCTAACGACTTGTTGTTCGTATCAAAATGCCCAGGCCACCCCAGTCCCTGCCCTGGCTCCCTTTGGTGCCCACAACCCAAGCTTCAGCACCAGCTCCCTTCCTGGTATTATTCTGACCTGGGAGGGCACGTTAGGAGGGTGGTGCCAGAGCATGTGGCCAGGCTGATCATTTCCTGTCCTACGCTGGAGGATGAATGTCCCCATCTCCCACCCACCACACGTGGGAGCTGAGGACAGGCCCAAAGGCAGCTTTCTTTTCCCTGCGTAAGTGCTGAGAGCTGGAGTCTCAGTCACACAACTACCTAGAAGTGCAAGATGCTAGAAGTGCTGGCCTTGGAAGTAGGCATTTGTACCATTTTTCACAGAGGGAAGGAGGCTCTGAGGTCACATAACCTACCCTACAGTTGGCGAATACAGTTCACACCTGTGCATGTTGACCTCAAGGCCCGTGCATGCTCTGAGCACTGTGCCCCACTGTCACTGTGGTGCCTCCTGCTCTGTGTCATGGATGCCAGACAACAGAGGGGTCTGCCTTTGGGAATGTCCCACCACAGGTAGTTAGATAGGCTTGCTACAGAACCCCCCTTTCCCCTGAACTCTTCCGGGGCACTGGAACCCCTAGGATGGAGCAGGAATGGGGTTACTATGCAGGGGTCAAATGTGTTGATGCTGGTTCTCAAATAGCCATCTGGTCCTATGCTTTGTGTTGATTATTTGACCCCTCAGTGCCTCAGTAAAATAGGGTTGATATCTGTAAAATAGGGTTGATATAATAGCAGCACCTATCTCACATGAGGGTCAAATGGGTTAATAACATAAAGTACAAAGAGTGGTGCACACAGCAACTACTTAGTTAAGGCTGAATACAATGACTCACACCACCTTTATTATTTCGAGGTGGGCACCAATTACTCAGACACAGCCCCCAAAACACTGGCCCAGGCCCGGATCTGGTGGTCCTAAGTGTTAGCTCAGAGGTTCTCTGTTGGAAAGAAGCCACTGCCATGGGTTGAGGTGTAGGTCCTCACCCCCCTCCTCTCAGTCCTGGACAGGAAGGATCAGAGTAGAAGAGGAGGTGCTTAGTCCCCTGGCACCAACGTAGTAGATGGCCCCATCCTCCCTCCCTGTGGCCACCAAGTGTCAGAATGGGGCTGTAAGGACAGACACAGAGCCAGGCAGCGTGAGGACCTGTCAGACCAGTTCCCTTGGATGCACCTGAGGTCCCAGGCCAGGTTATGCGTGGTGGACAGGGAAAGAGGGTGGGGGACATTATGGGGGTCAGTGCTGTACTCTGCAGCCTCTGGCCTGAAGCAAAGTCCAGCTCTGTCACCTGGTAGCTGTACAACCCTGTCCCTGTCATTTAGCTTTGATGCCTCCATTTTCCCATCTACAGACTGGCGGTGGTGACCTTAGGGGCCATCCCACAGGCTGCAGTAGCATTCACTGATGTGGTAGCGGTGAGCTCTCATAGCCAGTACTCTGTAACCCTAACTCTATCATCCTTCACATGGGGTGGATGAAGGAATGGTGTTTTCTGTTTCAGAGAACAGGGCCATCCCCTTAAAAAAAGTCATTCAAAGAGAAGCAGCCCAGGCTTGTCTGAGTCTGTGGGACCCACCAGAGGTCACCGTGATCTTGCCCCTAGCTCCAGACATCGGACATCTTATCTCCCCTCACATTTTACAAAGAAAATGTTCATCCTATTCCAGGGCCACTTTGCCATCACTGCTAAGACCCTTCTGTGTCTAACCTCAAGCTCTCCTGCTATACCGTTTTCATTTTTTTCTTGTCTTGGTAGGAACAGAAAAAGCTCTCTCAGACCCCTCTCTGGGAGGTTGATGGGTTTTCCCTGGGGCCCTCTAAAAGCAAAGTGTGGCCTGGATAACTCCTACCCATGTCCTCCTAGGCCTCTGGCTTTCTTCCTTCACCTTGGTTGTGCACTTGCCCTGTGGGCACTGTTCCTTGCTCAGAGCCTTGCCTGGGGTAAAGCCATCATCAGGAGGGGAGAGGTGGAGCTGATGGGCACCAGAGCCCCTTACACAGGCACAATGGACTGAAACCACCCATTCCATCTTCCAGGGGTGGGCATCAAGAAAGGAGGGGCTGCCTGTTTCCAACCCTAAAAGTCTAAGCTCCCTCAAGTCACCAGCCCCTCTCCCCAATATACACACAGAGGGGGAAACTTATTCTGCACCTTTGACCCCATGTACACTTCAGCAACCCCTAAACCCACCCTGCCAACCTCTCCATGCAGGACACAGGCCAGCCCAGCAATTCTGGGGTCTCGAGAGGGTCAGAAACTAACCAGGCAGCCTCCTCCACCCGCTTCCAGTCTTTGGGTCCCAGGAGACCTTCCAGTGACCTCACTGTTCCGGTACCTGACCTTCTGCCTCTCACCCCTTACCTTGACTCCACAAGCTGGGAAGGGGACAGGAAATGTACAAGTAATTATAGCCAAGAGGGAAGGCAGCAGGGAGGGTTCTAGCCCACTGGCTCCAGCAGTAGCTAGCTGGCCCAGGGGTTGGGGAGCAGGGCCAGGTCCCAGAGGCCCCTTATCAGGAAGACCCAGGGAGAGTGGGACTGGCACAGACACCTGGATTCCCCTCTCAGCAACAACTACAAAGGAGCCCCCGCCCTCATTTCACCAGGCCTGTGTTTTCTCAATTCAGCCTCATATTCCAGTAAACAAATGGCAGCTGGACCAGGTAAGAGGAGGAAGATAGTGTTTGCTCTGATCAAAGAGACTTGCTTAGAAGAGATGAGCTGTCCCAAGTTTGTCACCCACGCCTGCCTCCCCCCCACTTCTTTACCTCTGACACCACCCTCCACACCCATTCAGGTGGGCACATACAACAGACCCATCACTGAATCCCAGGTGAAGGTACTCATTTAAGCCTGCTGGTTGGACCTTACTGCCGTTATTCTGCCCATTCCCACCCCAGCCTTCCTCATTCTTTATTTCTTCAGCTCCTTCTGATGTTTTTCAATGACAAAGGGGGCTTCGGTCATCCTGGATTCTCTGAACCTCTCAGAGCCTGCCCCTGAGTCCCCCAAAGCCAGATGCCAAGCAGTGTCCACAAGAACCCCCACTCCAAGAGCAAAAAGCAGAATTGGCCCAGTTCAGCCATTCAAAAGGGAGCAATTTGCCACGGTGACTTGTCAAGCACAGTAACCACTTGACTTGGCCCCCACATCTTCTGTCCCCACCCAGAAAGAGCACACAAGCTCCTAACTCTGGTAAGTGACAAAACCCTTTCTTCTTGCCCCCATGTCCAAATGGAGCTACCCACCCACCCACACACACACAGACACACAGGCTGTAGTGGTGTGAGCCACCCACACACCGAAGCCAAGCTTCTCCATCCTCGACTCCAGTGTACCACGCTGCACCCCGGGGTCAAGCTGGCCTACCAGCAGTGTGCCCGCACCAGCCCAGGTGCCAGGGTCTGGCCCACAGTGGCGGTACTCACCCAGCGAAGACCCTGGATGTGGGCGGGCCGCCGGTGCTCCAGCAGCAGCTGGTAGGAGCAGCTTCGGGGCAGGTGCATCCTCCTCAGCACCATGTTGAGCAGTGTCCCCTCAGGCACCACATCAGGAAGGCCCCCTATCTGAGGAACTCCTAGAACTGTGCTCTCTTCCACAGCTGGGCCCACCTGCCAGTGGCTCTCACCTGGCCAGCCCACCTGTGGCGCAGGGAGGAAAGTGGACAGCCATGGGCTGAGACAAGGACCGAGGCACAACTGCCCCAGGCAGAACCACTTCCTTAGAGTCCTCTGGACAGTCAGGCGGAGGTGCCTGCCAGGAGCCCGGGGGAGGGACAGGAAGACCTTCCCCGGGCCTGCCGGTCTGGCACGCAGGGGTCTCCAGCTGGCTTTCAGAAGATTGGGCCCTTCTTCCCCAGCCCTCTGGAATTCTGCCCCACCTCGAGGCTCCTACCCCTGCAGGGATCCCTGCCCCTGCCAGCTTGAGCTGTAGACTGCCCGGATCCCCAGAAGCACGGCTCAAACCCTCTTCCCCTGCTACCCGCCGACCAACCCTCTCTCACCCAAACTCCCCACGGGGTTGGCTTCCTCTCCCGCCCTCTCCAGCTCCTCCCTGACCCTGACCCTGACCCCACCTTACCCACCTTCATGTTCCTCCTGCAGTTCGCACTGCCGCCGTGCAGGCTCCCGCAAGAGGCTGAGGGATGCCCAGCCAGCCCCAGTCAGGTCCACTTGGGGGAGGGGTAGTGTCCGGGTGCGGAGGGATAGGTCCCAGCGTATGGACAGGGACGGTTCCGAGAAGACCCGCTGCCAGTGCAGCAAACTGCAGCGCTGGGTGGAGAAACTCCTCTGGGTGAATAGAGGGCTGGGGTCCTAGGGGCAGCCCCTCCCCACCCCACCCCCAGACCAGGAGCCCCGAGCCTCCGCCTTCGTCCCAGACGAAAAAGCCAGCTGACACGGGGCGCTGAAGCGAGGCTACAGCTGGCACTGGGCCGGGCAGGAGCTGTCACACCCCCTGCGCTGCCCGCCCCCTTTCCCCTCCCGGGGACTGGCCGCGGGGGTGGGGAGTGGCGTTTGGCCCCGCCGTAGGGGAGGGGCAGGGGCGGGCACGGGCTGGATAGGTGGAGTCCCGACCCCGGTACAGCGGGTGGGCCCAGACCCCGGCCCCGAAGCCCCTCAGCGAGTAGGAGCGGAATCTCGGGTGCAGGGCCGAGGTGCAGGGGCGGAGAGCGACCGCACTGGCCGCCACGTGGCCAGGAGGAGAAGCGCAAACACGGAAACCGGGGAAGGGGAGGGGGTGAGTCACTGCGGCCCCACCCGGGAGGGAAATCCGGGCTGGGGCCGCTTCCCGGCGGGGGGCGCCCTCCCTCCCGTTCCGGTTCGGGGTCTCTGGCAGCCGCGGGGAGGGACTGGACCGCTTTCCCGTGGGGAATCCCGCGGCCCAGTTCCCACCGAGGGGTTCCCAGGCGCTCACACTGGACACGGATGGGGAAATTGAGGCAGGAGAGGAAGGGCGGCGCTGTGGATCGACTGATGATCCGGGTAGGGAGCAGATTGAGGTCGTAGGAAGAGGCGTGGTTTGTGGCCAGCGAGATGGAGAGAAGGGATTTTATAGGGAGGGCCACATCCCCTGCCACGCGCTCACTTAGGCGGGACAGGTGGAGCAGACTCAGATTCCAGCCGTCTCAGGGTTCATGCAGGGGCCCCACGCCTCCCTGGGCCTCACTTTCCACCACCGCACAGGTTGCCCAGTGCTACTCTCTCATCCGTTTCCTAGAGGGCTGAGACCGAGAACCCGGGACAGCGACTTCCGTGAAGCCCGGTAATTGCTCAGGAGGATAATGAGGGTTTAGAAGGAGGCACAAGCCCTGCCCTCAACTTTCGAGGACCCTCTCCTTTTGCCTTTTCTTCATTTCTATTGCTGTTGAGCCTGCCAGACTGAGGAAGGAACATTGCTAACCAGCAGATGCCTCTATCTCATCCTGCACAGAAAATTATTTTCCTGACGGGGGAGGGGAATTTTAATTGTGGTTAAAATCCCCATCCCACCTCTTTTTTGAGACAAGGTCTCATATGTAGTTCACGCTGGTCCTGAACTTACAGTGTGCCCCAGGCTGACCTGGAACTCACCTCCCAAGTGCTGAGATGGTATAACACCATACTTAGCTAAAATCCTAATTTTAATGGGTATGTGTATACATTTTCTTCAGGAGTTTATTAAAGTCCATGTTCTGACTCCCAAAATTTGGGTTCAGTCTTATTGACATGAAATGGAAACATTACTTTAAACAAACATCTCAGGTCATCTGCTGTGTCCATGCTTTGAGAAACACTGACTGCATTTTTAATATCTTCCAGGGAAGGCGATAAATTTGGCCCCAGACCTAAGCCCACCCACCCAGGTTCCTGGAATTTGAAAGAAAAAAAGAAAAGCCTGGATCCTGACAGAGAAGGGTGACTGGCCAGGGGCCTCAGCTGTGCATGGAGAAAAGCACTGGGCACTATGGGTTAGAGTAGTGAAGCTTCAGGATACTGTGGACAGTGCTGGCCCAGAAGTTCCTACCAGAGAGTTTCCTGAGACTGACAGTGGGGTCTGAAAGGAGCCCCTATTTCCTATTGCTGCTGCCCCTACTTTGGGCAGGTGGGAAGATGCCTGGAGGGGAGGCAAGGTTACCTGCCTGCCCAGAGATCTTGCAGCAGAGCCACAAAAGCTAATCATGTGCCCAGCACTGTGCCCCAGTGCTTTCCCTGTATTTCCTCCCCGCCACAATCCTATGAAGTAGGCACCATCCCCTCTCTACATATGGGAAAACTGAGGCTCAGAAATACTACTTGCCAAGATCATACTAGTAGTGAACAGTGAAACTGGGGCCAAAATCCAGTTTGTCTGGTTTGACTTAACCCTCATGCTACACTGCTGGACACATCAAATTCACTCTTCTCATCTAGCTGGGGCAGGTCCTTCCCCTCGCAGGATTCCAAATGGGGATTGGGTAGCAAACTTATATTCAAGGCTGAGTCCCAGAGGGGCCAAGCGACTGTGAGGTATGTCTGAAGAAGGCATCCAAGCCAGACGAGTCATCTTGGGGACAATCTGGTTACCCCCTGGTGCAGCCTCCACCCTCCTTTGACTGTCAGTAGATACATCCAGGTGGCAGGTGTGTTAAATTAATTAATAATAACATTAGTTAGCACGTACCAGGCCCTATTCTTGATACTTTATATACATTCATTGACCTAATTGTCCCAACAACCCTGTGAGATAGTTACTATTGTTATCACACCTTATGGAGAAGGAAGGTGAGACTCGGGTTAGATGACTTGCCCAAGATCCCACCACTAAAAAGAGGTGAAGCCCTGAGAAGTTCCATCCCCGTGGTTTTGAATCTGTGTGTGTGCTTTACCATTCTGCAGTGCTGCCTCCAAAACCTCGGCTTCTGCAAAGTGGGCACCCTGCTGTGGGGTAGGAGTGGGACAGGCAGATGAAGGAGGCTGCTCAGCAGAAGCCCCTCACACAGTCTCTCCATGCAGCAGGCTCTGGCCAGAGCAGGAACTTCCCGAATCCTCCCCTGTGTCCTCAGGCAGGCGCAGGGTCTCCCACAAGGCAGTCAAGGAGGGTGGGATGGGCTTCTTGGACCTCAGCTTTGGCTCTGGACTGCTTTTCTCTCACCTTGGCTTCTTTGCTGAGCCCTACACATGTTGAGCCCATAGCTTCCTGGACTTCCACACGAGCTTTGAACTCCCTTCCTACGCCAGAGGTCCCTGCTCCTCACTCGACTCAGCTTCTAGACTTGATCACTAGGTTCCCTCCTCCTTCCACGTCCAGTCAGGCTGCACCTCTCTGGGTTCTTTCCATCATGCCTCCCCACTGTGACTGCTGTGGTGGTGTCTTGTAGTACTGACTTCATGCAGTCACTTCATAGATGTCTTTTTTTTTTTTTTAATCCCCAAACAACTCATTTATAAGTAAGGAAACCAATGCACAGAGAGGTAAAGTAACCTGCCCAAGTTCAGTTACCGAATAGCAGTCTAACTGCAGAGTCTGTGTCTTAAGCACTACTTTGTGGTGTAACCACCCCTCCCTCAACTCTCATTCCTGAGTGCTCACCTTCCTCCATCCCTCCAATCATGGTAATACCACAAGCATTTCTAAAGAATCTATAATTCATCCAACAACCTTTACTGTAGGTGCAGGAGCTCTGCTATAGAACTGGGCAGCAGATGTGGTCCTAAATCTCTGGGAGCACAGAGCCAGGTGGAATTATCCTCTCTCTCCCTAACACATTAATCTGATTGGGTCTCCCTGTCCAGTGCAGTGTCTGGCACAAAGTAGGTGTTTCGTGACTGTGGGTGGAAATGCAATGAAGGGGAACTGGGAAAGTCAGCTGCGGCCCGCTGTAGACCCAAATGCAGGATAGGGTAAAAGGAGAAGGGCAATTTTCCAGATTTCTTTTGACACTAGGGACTGAACCCAGGGCCTTGGCACTGAGCTCCATTCCCAGTCCTCTTTTATTTTTTAAGACAAGGTCTCACTGAATCACTGAGCTGCCTGGGCTGGGCTGCAGTCCTCTTGCCTTGCCCTCCCAGAGTACTGGGATTACAGGTGTGCCCCACCACATCCAGCTATCTAGTGGATTTTCTAGGTGTTTCCTTCCAGCTCCTTCCTTCCCTGCCACTTCCTTGTGTTCTACTGTTTTCTCCTTCTGTCCTGTGCTGCAGACTTTGCATTTCACCTGAGGTTGTGGAGAGTGAGAGGTTAGAGGAGGTGTTAACTAATAAGAGGCCTTCAGTAGGACTGCAGAGAAGAGTAAGCTAGGAGACCAGCTCTGAAATAAAGTAGTAAAGTTTGAGGGGCCTGCTGCTAGCTTCCCTGAGGATCCCTTGGCTTCCACCTTGGTCAAGGTTGGCAAGTGAAGGGGAGCAGCTGAGACAAGAACACAGGTAACCTCACCTGGACTCAACCTCTGGCTCAGCGTGATAGTGGCCCTCTGACTTTGCCCAGGTTCCTCCTCCCTCCAGTGGTTCCAGTTCATTTCTCCCCTCCCCTCCCTTACCCATTCCTGCGGTGGGGGGCAGATGCAGAGAGCTGGAATGTTTATGGGCACCAAGCCAAACCTTCCTAGGCCAAGAGGGAACAGCCAGGGATAGGCTCACTCATGAGCTGCTTATGACAGTGACGGCTGGCAGAGGAGAGCTGGGGCCCTGCCTTCTCTAGGTGGGGAGCTAGGCAAGCTGGGGCTCCTAAGCAGGGCTAGAGACCAGCCGGCAACTTGCTGAGGCAAGGGTGGGGGCCCCCACTTTCCTAAAGGCACAGTCTCTGGCTGTTGCTCAAGCTACCCATGTGTGACACTGAACAGAGCTCTAGTGGCGAAGATGGTGGCCAGTGGATGGGGAAAGGTGGGAGAAGACAAGAAGGCAGGAGAGGAGACAACCTCTCCTGGAAGTGTCCCTAAAGCAGGGAGCAGGACTGTCACCCCAGTGAATGTGGCGCTTTATGAATGTGCAGAAATTAGTCACTGCTTTCTCTCCCCAGCTTCTACTTTTCAAGTGTGTGTGTGTGTGTGTGTGTGTGTGTGTGTGTGTGTGCGCGCACATGCGCGCCCACCCTTTTCTCCCCAGCTTCTACTTTTCAAGTGTGTGTGTGTGTGTGTGTGTGTGTGTGTGTGTGTGTGTGCGCGCACATGCGCACACCTGACCTTGAGTGGCCAGTGCTCTGAAATGGTTACTTTGGTCCACTTTTGGCCACTTTCCCTCAGACTCACCTTTCCCCTCTGTCCTGTCCCTCCTGTACTCTTCCCAAATCTGTTTCACTCCCCAGCATCCCCCAGAGACAACCTGAACTATCCACCTTATTACACCTTGCTACTTCCCTCTTCTCAACACCCCCAGCCCTTCCCAAATCTTCTACTTGGATGCCTCTGTTCAGGCTCATACCCTGCACCCTCTTTGCCCCCTGGTTTCAGAGGCTCAGAAAGGGCAGCTGCAGGAGCTTGTGGGAGGGGTTCCAGTGGGGCCCTGGTGCTGTCACAAGATGCACAGTTCTATCTGTTGGCCAGGTGGGTGGCTCAGGCTCTATCCAGAGAACTGGCTAGGGTGAGGTGGTAGAAAGTGGGTAACTAGGCAATCAGGACAGGGATAGGGGACCCTTTCCAGCTTCAGAGAAGATCCCAATCCCAGCTCCAAATCCTACTCAGGAAGTCCTGGGCCCAGAGAGGAAGCTATGTAGTCCAAAGACTTCCTGGCACCAGACCCACCAGACTTCCTCTGGAGAGGACCTGGTAGAAGACCAGGGGAGGGTGCAAAGAGCAGAAGCCAGAGAGAAAGAGAGAGGAGAGAGAGAAGAGGGTTTCCAGAGAGGGAGGCAGAAAGTGTGCGTGTTTGTGTGTGTGTGTGTGTGTGTGCGCGCGCGCGCGTGTGCAGTGGGGAGGGTCTACAGTCCAGCTAAGCAACAGGCACAGGCTGTTCCTTGTGTCTGACTTGGGAAGGACAGGCTGCCCCAGCTGCTCAGGCCTCCCATCCAGGGTTGCAGGAAGCTCTTCCTGCTCTTCAGCCTCCAGCTTCCTCCTTAGGCCTTCAACTCCAGACTGTGCTCCACTGAATCCCTGCCGTAGTGGCCTGAGTCCCAGTCTAATCTTCCCTGACAGCTTAGTTCTGCCTAGGCCCAGCCTGCTGGCCTTTGTGAATGGGGCCCACCCGGCTGGGGAGCCAGCTTCTCTCCCCACACAGAGCCTGTCTTGTGTTAGTGCCACCCCCTGCCACCACCCAGGGCCTCATTCCCCTTCCACACTTGGCCCTCCTTGCACCAAGATTAAGTGCTAGCATGTGATTCAGGAGAATGCAAACAATCAGAGGTCCAGAACTGGCTCTGCTTTGCTGTGTGCCTTGCAGGGTCCAGGCCTTGTACATAGAAGCCTGCAGGCCAGGTTTCCTGAATTACGTAGGTGTACAGAGGTTCCCCTCTTTCACCCAGGTGCCTTCCCTTCATTTTGTGGCCTGTCTCCATTTCTCACACCGTCTTGGCCCATCACTGGTCCATCCTTTCCACCTCCAGGAAGGCTTGTCAGATGTGGCCACTGGAACCTTCTTCCGGTGCCAGTTTTGGGTCCCTGATGTAGACAAAGCACCAGCACCGGTGGTGATACCCTTATTTCTAGTCTTGTACGTTACCCAGCCTTCTGATGGCCAGACTCCAGGGGAATCCACTTGTGCTGAGGAAGACTCTGTTCACAAAGCC